TACACGTATATATATTATAATGCATTTTTATTTTTTAAGCGATGAAATGACTGTTTCATAATGCCAAAATTACTGTCTCTATATAATTATATCATTTTTCTATTGATTCTATTTATAGGCATGAAGATTTTTATATTATCTAAATTTGAAATAAATGAAYAATGCTGTGGTATAACTGCATATTGCGATATGATTAMATTTTGGTAATCGTCGGTTAATTTTTTTTTGTTAAACACTTCAGAATATTTTCGTTATGGACTATAATAGTCACATACTCACATACTGTATGTCTGTTAGTTCCGTTTAGATRTTTTTACTATATATACCCTATAGTATCTAAAAAGTAATATTACTAATATTTAAAATTATTTGATATAAAAGTGCTGTAGAAACTGCAATATGACAGCGTGTTTGTTGTAATTTTGCGCATACGCATATATCGGCATGACCTTATTTCGAGTGTAGCGAGTCGAGCTGACTGTTACAAGCTTACAACCATTGACTGTTGTGCGGTTGAAAATAGTRAAATAATATTATTTCACATTATCACTATTATATTAAATTAAAATGTTTATTTTATGTCATTGTTCTATCGGTACGACAGAACCAATATAGATGGCCTTTCTATATTATACGTGTTTAAGAACTCGTGTTTAATTGAATTTAACAATTATAAGACCAGACAGCAGTTTGGTGAAATGAAAAAAAAGGACATTAACATTTTATGTGTTCATATTGATCTGACCTAAAATGCGTTCCAATTGTAAAAGGTACACGTTTAAAAGAAAAAAAAACTGTCCGATAAAAAATAAACTAATTATCTTATATTATATCATATTTTATTCGGAATTTATATGTCAGAACATTAGTGAATAAATAATCTACGCATTCATAATTTTAAAGGTAAAATATAATTTTTCAGTAGCTTCGTATATACACACACACATATATATATATTTATAAAATATTTTTACAAACAACGAAAAAGTTTTTTTTAAATGTATTTTTTACTCTCTACAAACGCTTGTCAAATATTTACTTCTCGAGTGGGTATTTAAACAAAGTTAGAAAAGTACTGTTCTATAGAAATATAGTTATATTGTAAATGTRTTGGTATTACAATTAAATAGGATTATTTGATTTTGTTTCATAAATATTAACATAATATAACAACATAAAAACGGAATATCGAATATTTYGGTTTAGTGAAAATATGAATATTATTTTATATAGTTGCACTTCATTTTTATGATGACGAATTCATTCAAATCTATTTTTTAAATTGTAATACAAACATAAACTATGTTTTTGCTATAGTAGGTAGGTACTTATAAAAGTGTACTTACGAGAAATTCTCATTAAAACTGTTAATACTGAACTAATTGTAATAAAAACATAAAATCGATGCAATAATTCTTAAGCCAGCTTAAAAAGCAGCTTTAGAACAGGTARAGATGTTAAAAATTCTTCTGAAGAACATCTTCGTTAATAGAAGAGATGTTTTAAAAACCGACAGAAAAGTAGAATAAGAAAATAGAGGGTAATAAATGTTTTTCTCTCTCCATAAAAGTGGCTACCAAAAACCTATCCGTTTTCATAGTGACGTCGTGGTAATTTCTTTTTTCTTTTTCWTTTTATCGCCGTACACTAAATGGTTATCTCATTGACGCTTTATGGCAAAAGTCTTCCCGAATGTATACGTGATAGCTTTTTGTAGTCTTTTGATAGAATTTAAAGAAATAAACACTATCATAAATACATTTTTTGATATTTCTGAGATCCAGTGAGAGAGTACCTACAAAAGTGAATTAGGCATGGGTGAAAAATATCACAAACGATCATGGATCGTATATTTCATAATAATGTAAAAGTACTTTGATATAAATTTAAATGGTAGGTTTTCTACATATTTCTCCGTTATTTTTTTGAACCTTCGTAATTAATGTTTATATAGTGTTTTACCATCYGTTTAAATAACCTTTCATAGTATTTAATAAACTATTTAATTTGTATATATCAGTAGGCTTAGATAGCTATTCTAGCAAGGAATACCTTAATATAATAATAATAAAAAATAAATAAACTATTTATGACTGGACTAAGTTTCTCTCAAAGATAAAATAAAATGTGAAGCTGTCCTGCAAATCTTTAATAATTCTAAAAAACTAACACGTCTGRCTGTCACATCTAAAATTCTCATTGAAACTAATTTTTAAGCATAACACAATTAGATGAGGTAGGAATATTGTCACCTGTAAAGAAAAAGTAACTTGTATGAATTTAAATTTTGACATTGTATGAAATTCGAATAGCATAATATAATAATAGGCAGGCTGGTAGACATTGCGTTGGWTAGCAAAACTTACAATTGTATGTTGTGTGAATAAAGTTTAAATTTAAGCAAGACCAGTGAAAGTTGAGGTGATAATTATATGCATAAAGCTTATATACAATAYTGAAGTTGTCTTTATTCAAAATGTGAGAGAAAAAATTTAAAACCCGAGCTTTCATGTTTTTGTAGCCTTGATGAAAGTTTTCACTAAACAACCAAAATCAAATAAAAAAAAAACAAACATCTTATAATTAATTATTAATAAGTAATCAAAAATATTAGTTTTTAATGGTAGATGACTACAGTGGCTTCACTAAAATGCTGATCAAAATGCTTCATAATATTATATAGACTACGTAGTCTACGCAATAAAATTAATAAACATAAAAATATTATAACTATTATCATTTATTATTAACATATTATATATTCATTTAAATGGTTTAAAAATAATAATATTGTATTATGGGTAATTTAGGTATAAACAGCAATTTTGCAATCAATTCAGCAACTATTATTTTTGTGAATATTTTATAATATGATTATATAATACTGGTAAAATATCATCATTTTATATACAAACTAATAGGCAACTGAGGTCTAACGCTGTGATAACAATTTTCACATTTTCCATTCTTCTTTGTTATAAATCATGTAYATCTAAGCTCCAACTCGGTGTATTGTTAGTACCTTCATCTTGTTCTAAMTCTAGAGATATTTTATCTCTCATTTCTGCAGCCAGTGCTGGTTTTATAATTTAGTCATCTACCTTCCATACATGTCAAGGTAATTAAATCTTTTACTTCTCGTATATGACAGAATATCTAGACTTCCATATATTCCATATCATCTATCATATATTTACGATTTTCTGTAATCAGTTGTATAGAGGTCGACAGATTTTTTTAGTACCTTTGTCTCGCTATTATAATATTTTCAATTATTAATGAAGGTATATGTACGGTATCTAGTCTAATGAAAATAAATATAGTCA